AGAAGATAAGAATTACCTTGGGAAGAACTAGTTCCTATGGATGGAGCAGTAATGGCGTGTTTGTCAGCCTTCATTAGCAGATTGGTAAAGGCATATCCAGATAGAACTCTGATAAGTGAGATAAGTTAAGATAAACAAAGAAAACATTTACTAAAATTTTTAAAATCTGTCAGAAAATTATGAAAAGGCTTTTTTGTGATGGTTTTAGATTTGGTAGATGAAAGTGCATAATTTTGTTGTAATGGGAATACAGATATAACATGGAAAGAAATAGGTAGCACACTTTTATTTCAAGGCCCTTCAGCCAGTTCAGAACTCCTCCCTTTACTCCATGGGAGTCTTGGGCTTATTTTCACTGTTCCTACAGTCTAGTTTTTGTTTTGTGGGGTTTTTTTGGTTTTGTTTTGTTTTGTTTTGTCATTTTTGGACTAACCCATTCTGGGATTATTCATTGTTCTCTATTTTAACCAAAGAAAGATAAGCAAGGATTTCTAGAAGAAATTTGTGTTTATTGGAGTGTTTCCAGAGTGCTTCTTTTACTGTTTTTAACATCTGCTACATTAAAAAAGAAATGGAGCAGGGGGCAGAAATCTTAAAAAGCAGTGTGGTATATTATTAAGTATGCTTACAAGTTCGAGATTATTCAGTTTCTACCTTCTGTGTATAAATCATCTTAATTTCTTTCAAAGTAATCAGAATTACTTCTCACCTCCCTCGTTTCCTCTCTCTCTCCCTCTTTCCTTTTCCTTACTAATTTTATTTTATTTAAATTTCCTTCTTATGGAAAATCTAGATTAGACAGAAAATTATTTTTAAAGCTTAATAATATTAACAATAAAACTCCAGTACCAAGAAAGAACCATTATTATTGGTTTTTTTCCTTCAACCTGTGAATTAAGCTAAGATTCTTTGAGTTCTTCATTCTGTTAGTATGCATCTCCCTCTTTGCTTACCTAAGAGAGCATGCCACAGTTTCGGATATAGCCTTCCAGTCAGAATTCACTGGTTATGCCCCTCCCATCACCCTCTAACACTCTAAACCTTTGCCAAAGCCAGGCCTTGGACTGAGAGGACCCATTGCCTTATCCAGTCTCTTTCTGCCTCCAGCTTGAGCAGCATGGCTGTTTTCAACTGTTTGAGTCTAGCTGCAGAATAAAATATTAATTAGGTAGATTCCAAAGCTCTTACTATGTTTGCAGTCCCTGCTTGCTTTAGGAAAAGTAACAAAACCAAGACTTTGAAACCCTCCAGCTCCCTAATTCCTTTTTTAAAATAATTAATTAATTAATTTTTTTAGTTGTAGATGGACACAATATATTTGTTTATTTTTATGTGGTGCTGGGGATCGAACCCAGCGCCTCACACATGCAAGGCAGGYGCGCTAACACTGAGCCACAGCCCCAGCCCTCCCTATTTCTTTGTATGTTTAAACTTTGTTAACTTTGAATTAGACCTAACCAAATCTCCAGGTTATTTTGACAGAAAAAGGGTTCCCATTTTCCTGAGCTGTTAAAAAGGWTTTCAGTTTTGTTTCAGAGTAGATAGGCCAAGAATGTGGGTAAGCCAGTGGTCAGCAAAATTCCTGAAAAGGGCCAGATTATAGACATTTTAGGCTTTAGGGCCCTGTGATCTCTGTGACAGCTGCACAGATCTGCTGTTACAATGCAAAAACAGCCATACACAATGTTTAAATGAGCAAGCTTGACCATATTTGAGTAAAACTTTATTTATAAAATAGGTAGTGGGCCCTAGTTTGCCAGCTCTTTAAGCCATGACTCTCTAAAGCATTGTATGATGACACACTGATCACTTGAGAAAAAAAGTATTTACATCACATATGATAAGCCATTGTATATGTACTAAGGGCTGCCACACACAACTATAAAAATATTCAAATGATATTCAAATCTATTGGCCACAACAGAAAAGAATGACAGATTTGACTGCATAAAAATTAAAATCACAAAGTATACAGTAAGTAAAGATAAAAGACAAATAACAAACTAGAGAAAATAATTGTCATCTATATAACTACCAACTTACATGGTTTTTGCATACCAATAAGATGAATWATCCAAAAGAAAAAGAGACACAAGATATGTACTAGTCAGAAAACAGGAAAAGATGCTCACTCTTATAAGTAGTGAAATCTGTGTCTTAAAGAGACTTTTTTTGCTGTCAAATGTAGACATTTGAATAAATAATATGCATAATATTCAGTGTGTTGGGGGATGTAGGGAAATAAACCACTGGATATGGTTGTGATGATTTGTATTATCTATTATTATAGACAGAGTACCTATGATTTATCAGCTTAACAAAACAAATATTTGTTTTCTCAGTTTCTGTAGATCAGGAAACCAGGAGTAGCCGAACTGGGTGGTTTAGGCACAGGATTCTCAAAAGATTCCAGGCAAGCTGTCAACCGTGGCTACAGTCATTGGGAATGAATGATCCACTTTCAAGGAGGCTCACATGGATATTCTAGCCCCCAGTTTCTTAGTGCCCATTAGGCAGAGACTGTAGTTCTCCCGGGGGCTTACCATCCAGCATTTATTTATTTTTTTAGTTGTAAATGGACACAATATATTTATTTATTTATTTTTATGTGGTGCTATGGATACCTGGCAGCTTGTTTTCCTTGAGTGAATAAAGAGATCAGCCAAGACATATCATACACAGTGCTTTCTAGAATCCTTGAGGTAACATACCATTTTAAACATGCTGTTGGTCACAGAGTACTCATGGTACAGTATGAGAAGGCCCTAAAAAGGATGAGTAGTAGGAGGCAAGAGTCCTCAAGGACTTGGAGGTTGGCTGCCACAGGAAATCTGGGACTTTGTTTCTCTGTCAGCTGGTTATAGAGTTTTCCATATTATTCCTGCTGAGTCTAGAGTGGGAAGATATCTTTTTTCCCTCTAGCATCTGGGTGGAGTGGCAGGAGTACCTGGGGATTGACTGGGCATTTTTCACCTCTTTGTGGTCTCTCCACAACTAATGTGGATTTTTTTACATCAGAGTCTCAGGCTGGTCATACTTCTTGAAGGGTAACGATGCCAGATTCCAGAAGACCCAAGCAGAGGCTACACAAATTTCTATGATCTAGCCTTGAATTTTTTCCATATTCTTCATCAACAATATATTTATAGTACTAGCCCAGATTTAAGAGCATGATTACAAGGTGATGTGACCTATTATAAAGACCCATCTTTGGAACTATCCCAGGGAGTTATGATTGTAAGAAATGATGCTGGCTTATTCTAAAGTGGTAGCAGTGCAAATAATTAAAAAATTGGTCTGACACTGGAAAAATTTTGAAATAAAATTGATAGAATTTACCTGGGAATTGAATATGTAGTATGTGGGGGGAAATATAAGTTGAATGAATCTAAGATTTTTGAGTTGAGCAATTTGAAGAATGCAGGTCTACTTACTGATATGAGAAAAATTGTAGGACAGGAAATTTGAAAAGGCAAATCCGGATTGACTAAAATCCTAAGCATCTGTGTAAGAAAATACATATGAAGGTRTAGCCATTAGGAAGGAGGTTGAGCTGGGCACAGAGATGCAAACCTGTGGTTTCACCTACTTGGGAAGCTGAGACAGGATGGCTTGATCCAAGAAGTTTACAACAAACCAGTCTACAGTAAATCTCTGTGTACTGAAATAGGAATGCTATTCGTGGTTATTACTTGGAAGGTGTGATAAGTGAAGTGTAATTCCTTTTATGAATAAATATATATATTAAAAATTAATGTTTTAATATATTTATCAATATTTACATAAAACCCACAAGTTCTAATCTGTCATTGAAGGGCTCTACTAAGAATTTGGATTAAACCATAGGCCAAGGGAATTTTTTGAAGGCCTTCCATCAGAGGAGTGATATCATAATTATGCTTTGGGAAGATGAATTTTTAACAGTGTGAGAAGTGAAAGAAGAGTTGGGGAAGCCAGGGATTGTACTCTGTGGAAGCATACCAAGCTCTATTCACAGTCTATGAACTAAATCCATGGAGGTCAGAGACTGTGGCTTTCCTTGTTTTATTCTAGCTTCAAGCCTAGAGCAGTGGTGAATGWGTGAATAAGTGCATCATCATCATCATTTCAAGCTATTCAGAAAGTTCTTGTCTAAATTAACAGACTATCTCAATTGTAGATTTTTATCAAAATTCTATTACATTACGTGGTAACAGAAGAAAGTATTAATAGGTGGTAAATCTACTGATTTAATTAGTAGAGTAGATGTCTACTCTATTTCCTTTGCTGCTGTATTTGACTTAAAAAAAAAGAAAGAGAGAGAGAGAGAGAGAGAGAGAGAGAGTTTATGACAGGATTATTTCATCTTTTACCTGAATATATTGTATAAGTGATCCTAAGCCTTTTAAATGGCAATGATAATTTCTAATCATCTAGAGTATATGAATCAAAAAGATAACAAGTATCAAGCAGGAATTTCAAGAGAGGTTTTTCAGAGGAAGTACTGTTCTATAAGGAATTAGATTTCATGCTTTGTTTTTAAAAAATGCCATCAAATAGGCAAATGACTTAGTGGGATTAGGGGATGACACTGTAAAATAACTAGAGATGGACTTTTTATTGTTTAGTGCAAAAATGCAATATTGAATTTTTTTAAAAAAATATGTTTTAGTTGTAGATGGACACAATAACTTTATTTATCTTTATGGAGTGCTGAGRATTGAACCCAGTGCCTTGCTCATGCTAGGTGAGTGCTCTACCGCTGAACCACAATCCTAGCCCCAATATTGGAATTTTTAAGGAAGAGCTTTTTTCTTCTTCAGATTTTTGTTTTGGTCAAGTTTTTAAACAAAAATCAGTTTTTAAAAATTACATATATTAATTACATCAGCCTACAAGTTTCCATGGAGGACCAAACTTTATTACACATGAAGTTCATTGTTTTTACTTTCATGACATTTTGGTCATATTGGTTATAATAAGTTGCAAGATATTTGCTGAAAATGTCTTGTTTATTTCAGGGGCTACACTGAGTATGAGACCAGCCCCCATTCCAATAGAGGACCCAGAATGGAGACAAACTCCTCCCCCCGTCTCTGCCACATCTGGGACTTTCCGACTCCGACGAGGGAGTCGATTTACCTGGAGGAAGGAGTGCCTGGCTGTCATGGAAAGGTATGTGTCTCCTTTTCCAATGAGAAGTTTCCAGAAATCAGGAAAGAAGTAAACTTTTGCATGGATTAGGACCGTTTTCATTTCCAGTAAGTAATTTGGGAGCTGAGTTCTATTTCAGAGAGTATTTTGGAGTATTGTAAATGCTGGGTTATTAAAATAAGATGTTTGGGTTTTGGGGATTTTTTTAGTTGTCAATGAACCTTTATTTTACTTATTTATTTATATGTGGTGCTGAGAATCAAACCCAGTGCCTCATACCTGCCAGTCAAACATTTTACCACTGAGCCCCAACCTCAGCCCTAAACTAAGAGATGATTTTTAGCATTSACAATTCATAAAGCTAGAGTTAGCATCTATCAGTTTATTTTATATATAATTTAATAGTGCCCTCAGTAATTTAAGATACTTTAGAAGAAATATTTTTGAGTTTAGATATTTGTATGATATTTTGGAAAAACTATTCAAGTCATTTTTATCAAAAATGATATAGGAGTCAATTAAGATTTAACTTTCTTCAATGAAGAGGAAGATCTAAGTGAGCTTAGTTACACAGGTTAGAAAATACTTGTTTAATAATTTATCCTTTTACTTTAGCACCCAGCACCTAAGTTCTTTTTTGACCTTCATTTTCCTGCCTGAAATGTTTGTTATATTTAGCATAGATCTTATAGCATAATTATCCTTTTAGTCACCTACTTATAAGTGATGTCTATAGAATTTTGTTTTTATGGAGAAGTTTGTACATAGTAGGGTCATAATTTCCCAGCTGTACATTTTACCCATATATAATCTGACCAGTAGAGTGATATACTAGACAGAGCACTTGACTCAAGAGTTAGAAGACTTGAAACTTCTGATTAACTTTGGGTCACAAATTCTCAACTGTGACTTGCTCATCCTCAAAATGAAATTTTTTAGTAACCAATAAATTATGTAAGACTTTTGCCATCTTTCTTCTTGCTTACTTTATGAGTATTTCCCAGACTATAAAACTTAAAATGCTGAAATTCAGACCATATTTTTGTTTCTGTGATATAGATGAAATTAATAGATTTGCTAAGAAGAGGGCTGGATCAGTATCCAAAATGAAACTATAGATTATTCATTGGTGTTAATATTTCTTTCTTTGCTCTATTATAGATRAGAGTATAAGCCATTGATTAAATAATGAATCCTTATACACTTGAGTGGTTAAAGTGAAAGATGGAGGCTTAATTTTTCTGGAGACCTGACATTTTACATTCTATGCCATTTTCTCATCTGGAAATTTTGATTTTTTTTTCAAAATTTCTTTGGAACTTACCATAGCAGATGGGAATTAAAATTATATCTAACTTAAATTATTTGTAATACTGTGTATTTTTCTCTGGGTAACACAATAAGATGTGATATCAGTCTCTAACTGGTTTAAGTTCTACTTTCATGAAGATACTACCATATGCTTTTATCACATGATGTCAGTATGAGAAATAATTTTGAAAGTTGATAACTTTAAAAATGATAGAGAATTGAACCTCAAAGACTTTTGAGTTCCTTAATTTTTTCCCCAAAGCACAACTAGTTAGATTTACACTGATTAAATTTCAATTAAAAATATACTGAACACTTATTCTGTGCAAGCCTTTCATTTAGTTTTAATTTACACTTTTTAACTTGAGTTTTAATTAATAATTGTTTTTAACCCAAGAGTTGGTCATCTTTGGTTTGATTTTATCTGATTGGCACAACTAGAGAAAGAAGATATTGTTCATTCTAATAGTTGCAAAAATGCAGAAAGCCTTTCAAGTCATTTTGTATCAATAGTACAGAAGGCTCACAATATGATTTTTATTCTTTAAAAATGGAACTTTTCCTAAAATGGAATATAAATTTCCCTAGTCTTATAGTGACACATATTTTTTGCCTAGACTAAATGGGTAGATATGCACAAACTATAAAACCAGCAAATAAGCCTCACTCAAATATGTTAGTATAAGAGTAAAGCAAAAAAATGATTCTATTCCTCACACCATACACCAAGATAAATTTCAAATGAATTTGAGAAAGTTAAAAATATATATAAAAAGAATTAAACATGGGTGATTCCTCCATATCCTGGGAATGGGAAAATTGTTTTCTATCACTTAGAATCCAAAAGCAATAATAGAAATGTTTAATATCTATATACTAAAAGAAAATCTTTGGGGGCAAAAATTGAGCAACACTTAAAAGACAAGTTGGAAAACGCTTTTGCAGCTTTTATCATCTTAGTATGAAAAGAAGAATTAGTTATTAATCTTCGAGAGAGATTAATAACTCTATGGAAAAATGGACTAAAGTTATCAGGAGAAAAATGACAAATATATGCAAATGGCTAAAACCTAGGAACCAGATACTTAACTTATAATAAGAGAAATTCATCGAGATGCCATTCCTCACCTGTCACATTGGCAAAAATCCAAAAGTTTGGTATTCTTTTCTGTTGATTGGCCTGTAGAGAATGACATTCTCTTACATTGYACGTAGAAATACAAAATGGAACAACCTTGCATGGGGGAGAATTTGGCATTATCAAGGAAATTTATCTATGGATTTGYACTTTCGCTCTATTGCTAAAAAATCATCTCAAAAATACATTGACAAAAATATGAAAAGGCAACAACACTGTAATAATATGAAAATACTGAAGACAACCTATATGTCTCTTGGTAATGGGATGGACAAATAAATAACAGTACATCCATATGTTGCATGTCAAGGCTCATAGTAAAATGCTAGGCAGAGACAAAGACAAAGGAATGAAGACAGTATTTATACAGGGGTCTCTAGGATGTAGTTTTATTTTTATTAAAAAGGCAGATTTAGGGCTGGGGTTGTGGCTGAGTGGTAGAGTGCTTGCCTAGCATACATGAAGCTCTGGGTTCAATCCTCAGCACCACATAAAAATAAAATAAAGATATTGTGTCTACCTAAAAAACTAAAAAATAATTTTAAAAAAAAAGCAGATTTAGCTGCATAGCATAGGCTTTCATTTATGTACTTGCTTATACCTGTTTTTAATGGAGGAATATACCATAAAGCAAAATTATTACCAAAAGAAAAGAGAAAAACAGATGGGAGTAGATAGAAGTAGAAACTAGAAATCACTGAAAATATCTTGTTTTGACCTTGTAACTGTGTAAGTATTTTACATAATTAAAAATCAAAATTAAATTGAAATGGGGGAGGAAATCCTTAAGAAAATAACTAAAATGAAAGAAAGATGGTTGACTAAACAATCAGGTATTATTTTAAATCACTTTACAACATAGTAATTTCATTATACTTCCTAAGTGGGTTATAGCTTGAGAGTAAAAACAACTACAAAAAAATCTTACAGGGACTAATTTTGGTAAAGTTAAGTATTGTTACCCAAATACTATTTTTATAATTAGAAAGGTATAGTTACAGATGTAGATGTAAATAAAACAATCAAATTAATATTATTAGGAACCAAAATTTTCAGTGTAAGAGAAACAACATAGAAATACAAAATAAAAATAATTAAATTTTTTTAAAATTAATACTTTATGTGTATATGTGTGTATAGAAAGAAGTTTATTGCAAATGTACTTTAAAAAAAAAAAAAAAAAGCCTTACTGAGATACAATTTACTCTTTTTTTCCCCCTTGCAGTGCTGGGATTAGACTAAGGGCCTCACACATGCTAGGCATGTGCTGTATCACTGATCTATATCCTCAGCCCTACAGTTAAGCTATTTAACATATTAATTTCAGTGGTTTTTAGTACACTTACAGAGTTATGCAACTTATAGAATATTTTTATCAATCCCAAATAAACTTTGGATCCAGGATAAACTTTCCTTTTCTCCACACCCTCCTACCCTTGCATAACATTAATCTTTCTATATAGATTTGCCTATTCTGGACATTGCAGTTTTTATGAATGAATCATATTCTGTGGTTTTTTGATGACTCATTTCTTTCAGTTAGAAATATTGGTACTAGGTGGGCTGGTGTTGTGGCTCAGTGGTARCGTGCTCGCCTGGCATACATGAGACACTGGGTTCGATCTTCAGCACCACATAAAAATAAAGACAATAAAGTCCATCAACAACTAAAAAAATATTTAAAAAAAAAAAAGAAAGAAAAGAAACATTGGTACTAGGAATTGAACCCAGTGGTGCTTTACCACTGAGTTACATCCCCAGTTTTCTTATTTTTTTAGTTTTGAGATAGAGTCCATAAGTTGCTGAGGTTGGGCTTGAACTTGGTGATCCTCCTGTCTTAGCCTCTCAATTGCTGGGATTACAGGCATATGTCATCATACCCAGCAACATAGTATTTTCAAGATCTGTTCATGTTATACCATATGTTTTCTATTGCATTTCCTTTTATTGCTAAATAATATTTAATATGGGTAATATTTTATTTGCCCATTCATCAATTGATGAGCACTTGGGGTTTTTTTTTTTTTCTACTTTTTGTCTATTAGGAATATTGTTGCTACTTAGAATTTGTGTACTATTAGAATTGCTGAGTCATATACTCTGCATTTAGCTTTCTGAGAACCGCCAAATTTTTTAAAGAGTTTATATTTATACCATTTTATATTCTACCCAGCTCTGAATGAAGGTTACCACTTCTCACTAACAACTGTTATTATCTGTCTTTTGTGGTATAGCTTTCTTTGAGTGGGGTTGAAGTATGGTATATTATTGCAATTTTAATTGTTTCCTTGATAAATAATGTTAAGCATCTTTTCATGTGATTATTGGCCATTTATGCATTATATCTTCTTTTAAGAAATGTCTGTTCAGATTCTTTGCCTTTTGTTTCTAAATGGGATTGTCTTATATTGAATGGTTCTTTTTATGTCCTAGGTATAAGTACCTTAACCAGTAAGTGATTTGCAAATATTTTCTCCTTCTATGGGTTTTTTTAATACATTGTTGATAGTGTTCTTTGAGATCCCCAAGTTTTTAATTCTGATGAAGTGCAGTTTATTTTTTCTTTCATTGC